TATGATGATGCTGTGAACACCCTTTTTTTTCGCAGTAAGAGTATCAGATTATTAAATAGGTTGAAAATGTTATCGTAATATTCTGTACCAAACACACTATTTAATTATAGATTTTAACATATGCCATAGCTTTTACTAAAAAAAATCATTGTTTTGACAATGATAATTTCATTGAAAATGAATAGTATTTCCAGAGAGAATTATCCATCTTATAACAGCATACTATTTTTTTCACTATATGTTTCGGTATTTTCAGGTTATGGCAAGATCTTTTCCCCCCAAGTAAACCAATGTTAAATGGCTCAAACATCACTGTTTTATGTGTTTTTTACCAGCTTCTTTTTCATGTGAAAAGTAGTTCTGTGACTATACATTATTTTCATTTAATTTCAGTGTGTGAATATTTGTCTGATGTGTTTGATTGTCAGTTTCCCCACAAAGAAATAAATGAAATGTATGATGATGATATGGTGAGTGTTTGCATGTTTACGTGTAAAGGCCACTTCACACGGTCAGATTATTTGGATAAAAAAAGTCCTATCATATATCTGAGAACAATCTGATGGAAAAGTGAAAATAACCCAACTTTTGATAATTAAACAAATGTCACATGGGGGGAATTACAAATACATGAACAAGGAATAAACGTAAATGTACAACCAAAGTACATAAACAGTAGAGAAAAAAGTTTCTTGAAAAGAGTGGGCATGTACATCCTGCTTCGACAACCATATATATTGATGGATGACTGATATTGCTTTTTGTTTACCCTTTCATCAAATAATCACTTCTATCATGAGGTCTCACTAATTATCTAATTATAACAAAAATACCTTTTTTTCCTAGCAACCATTAAATTGCGATTCCTTATTTGAAAGATACGTAAAAGGTGAGTGTATTACACATCATTATTATAATAGAAATTAAAATTCTGTAAAAATTGAACCGTATTTGAATTCATCGTAAAATGTACATGTATCTGTCACCGTAGAATGTGTCCCTTACATTGAGATCAACTACTTCACCAGCATTGAACACATGTTCCAGGTTATTGAGGTCACATTCAAAAACTTCCCTTTGATTACATTTGACCACAGTCCCCTCATTGAACACAACATTTTTCATTGGCTTTATCTCTCATTAAATTATTACTAAAAAAAATGTATAATACTAACATGATCTTGAGATAAGCACCTGCTAGTAAATATAATTACCGAACTGCATACTCACAGTACTTGCCTAATAACCTCATAATCATGTTAAAGAAAGGCTATGAGGATGTTAATGATACGGTACATGTAGTTAATATTGGCCTGTTTGGGGTTGAGGTTTTAGTATACAGTGTACATGTATATAACACACTGAATCTTTGTAAAAATAATAAAATGTGCACTTGCATTTTGTTTCATAGATGAATGGCTTGACTGGGAAGTACAGTTGTTTGAAGAAGCCATGGTGAAATATGGTAAAGAATTCAACAAAGTTTCAAACTGGGTTAGTGTTTTTGCTCATTCAGTATACTGGCCAAGAAATACCATTTTCTTGAACAGTCGTATTTGTTCGATTCAATTATTAGCCATCAGGAATTTTACAATGTATTAAAATGATACATAATACACTATTACTACTGTATATTTTAAGATACCTACAAAGATGTATATTTCAGATGCCAGAAATTAGGTTCCATTTACTTAATGAGCTGACTTATTGCAGAGATAGCATCAAATAATTCTAAGAATTGTTTGTAATTTCAGATTAAATCAAGATCAGTCAAGGAATGTGTTAGTTTCTACTATAAATGGAAAGGGAAGTTGTCAGAATATCACAAATCTCATGAGGTCAGAAATAGAAATTCTGAATATGTAAGTAATTTAGTTTCTAAGTCCTACCAAACCGAACCATTTTGCCACTCCCACCAAACCAACCCAACCTCAGTGTGACGATCCTACAAAACCCAACCGCCACAGTTTGCCCCTCCCACCAAACCAACCCAACCTCAGTGTGACGATCCTACAAAACCCAACCGCCACAGTTTGCCACTCCCACCAAACCAACCCAACCTCAGTGTGACGATCCTACAAAACCCAACCGCCAGTTTGCCACTCCCACCAAACCAACCCAACCTCAGTGTGACGATCCTACAAAACCCAACCGCCACAGTTTGCCACTCCCACCAAACCAACCCAACCTCAGTGTGACGATCCTACAAAACCCAACCGCCAGTTTGCCACTCCCACCAAACCAACCCAACCTCAGTGTGACGATCCTACAAAACCCACCCGCCTCAGTGTGCCACTCCCACCAAACGCCTCAGTGTATAAGCTATCAACAAACCCATTCACCTCAGTATGTTACTTCCAACAAACACACCCAACTCATTGTGAAACTTTCACTTAACACACCCACCTCAATGTGAAACCCAAACCACCCACCTTAGTGTTTCTTCCACGATACCCATCCACCTCACACCCACTCACCTCAGTGTGTCACGCACACTAAACGCACGTCAGTGTGACACAATCCTACAAAACCCATCCACCTCAGTGACACTCTCACTAAACACACCAACCTCAGTGTGACTCTCCCACCAAACCCACCCACCTCATCTATCCTGGAATCAAAATTTCAGTGGCTCACTAAGTCCAGCTAAAAAAATATGATACGTTTCTATAGGTTACAAAATATATGAAGTTGGGATTCTCAGCAGGGTTGTAATAATTATGCTATGTTCTATCTAGCTTTCAGTCAAACAAAGGAAGAAAGAGAAGAGAGATCAGAAGCGAGAAAAGGAAAGGAAGAAAAAGTTTCCAGGGATAATAATTGAACGAAAGGAAGAGACCCCAAGAATGAAACTATCTAAAGCTGAACTAGACGAGGCAATGCGAAAAGCCAAGATATATCAGCAACTCTATGTTTACGGATCATACGATGACGCTATGGAAGAAAATGTTGATAATGTCCACCGTGAAAAGAATGCAAAGAAACGTGCATTTGAAGAAACTGAAGAAAAGGACCTGAAAAAAGTGAAATTACTTGATAATGAAGTCTTGTAAACTGGTTAAAAAGCGCAAGCATGCAAGCTACTTCATAAATTGGAATTGAAGTGTCTGATTGGCCAATTGGTCTGACAACTTAATTGAAGATACTTTCAATATTCCGTTATGAGATTTCTAAGCTGGCTGATTATAAAAAAAAGTCTGATGTACCACAGTATTGCTGATTAAAATGACAAATCAGGAGTACTTGATTTTAGTTGAACTTCAAAAATAATCGATGCTTCTATGGTGCTAGACACCAAGTTTCTAAATAGTGTATAAATATTTAGTTTGTTTTGTATATTTATATGGATACCACTGCAATTACCTATTCTTTGAGGGTTTTTTTTCAGTTTTTTTTGTGCAATGTTATTTCAAATGTACATATGTATATGTAAATAAATTAAGAAATAAAAGTACTGTTTTAATTGCATTGCAATTGAATTTCCATTTCCACTGGCTCTGTGATTGTATTGTGTTTAGACATTATTTCCAAAACAAGTATTTTGAGTTATGTCTATCCACCCATCATAACTCTAACAAGTCTGGACTGACTTTGTTGGTATGAAGTTATAATAGTCAACGTATTTATATTGATTTTTGGCTCCTGATGCGAAGCACAGTGGGAGCATTGTAGTTACATTTTCTGTGGATGTGTGTGGTTCCTCCTATTTTTTCAGTTACATCTTAAAAATACTTTGACCAATGTTGATGAAACTTAGTATAAAGAAGTTTTACATTCATCTGAACATTCAATCAAGGTTTGGTGTAATTACAATTTTTTTCCAGGACTGTTCACCTCAATTATCTGATTTTATCTGGCGGCCATTTTTGTCCCAAACAACATCAACAATTCACTGATTTCATTCAAAATGGTAGACTGGCAGCCATATTCCTAATTTCCCGTGTCATTAACTATTTCTTGGATGTACAGTAGTACTTGTAGTAGTTCAAAAAGTTGCCCACTTGACCTGAAACTTTACAGACACAATCTATATGCAATTCTCTAAAACGTCAAAAGTTTTCGATATGTTACGTCATTTGGCCGCCATCTTGGATTTAGTAAAACCCGAAAGTGCTAGATTGCACCACTTTCTGAGGGTCTTGGATCTCCAAATATTCTTACAAATATTCATGAAAAAAAAATTGAGCGAACATGTGACTTTTGCCACCATATTTTGTTTCTTTATTTGGTCAAAATATCACTAAAATAGATATGTCATAACAGTACTGTCCGAATGACATGTAGAGAATAACGGTGTCATGACTGCCTACAAAAATTGTCCTGATTGGTCGAGAAGTTGACCATATATGGTCATAGAACTCATTAAATATGCATGTCTCTAATATCTCAAGCACTATTGTATGTACAAACATGGAACTAACGCTATATTGAAGGCAATGGACAAGAGAATTGGCCAACATATTTGTTGACCATATATGGTCATAGAACTAATTAAATATGCATGTCTCTAATATCTCAAACACTATATTGCATATACAAGCATGGAACCAATGCTATATTGAAGCCATTGGACAAAAGAAATTGCTAACATGTTCAATGACCATATATGGTCAATGAACTCATTAAATATGCACGTCTCCAATATCTCAAGCATTATTGCATATACAAACATAGAACTAACACTATATTGAAGGCATTGGACAAGAGAAATAACTAACATATTCGATTACCAAATAAGGTCATAGAACTCATAAAATATGTATATCTATAATATTTAGAGCAGCATTGAAGTTAGAGACGTGGAAATAAGGCTATATTGAAGGCATTGGATAAGACCATCGTGTAACAGATTGCACAAATGAAATCTTTCAAACTTTTTTTTTCAAATTCAATGGTATTATAGCCCTTTACTTGAATTTTTAAGCCAGATAGACTGGTCCCAATATAATGAACTGGTCCTGGTTCACCATATACCAATTTACCACCATAACAGCACCTTTCCCCACCGGTTAGGAATACTGTGACCTGTTTGCCATATAGTGTTATCAGTTCACCATGTTGTGACTAGATCAACATATATTGTGATAAATTTGCCTACAGTATATAGTAAACTGATCACAGTACATGTCTCCATTACCCTAGATATTACAGAAGTGTAATGTCATAACTACCGGTATGTTGCATAATTGCAATTCTGTGCAAACACAGGCATTGCATCGAAAGCCAGTAATCGCTGCTTGCAGCTATATTTTTGTTTGGTGATTTGATTCAAAATGTTCTACTGGCAGCCATTTTGTTTTTTAAATGTCCTGTTTGTTAACTTTCATTGATTGTGTGTAAATATTACCTTCAGTCGTTTGGCAGTTTTGATGAATTTTAAGTTTTTGGTAAATTCTGCATAATATGAAGGGGTTTCTTGAGAGTGTATTCGAAGTTTTCTTAAATTACTGAGATTTTCTATTGTTTTACATACAGATAGCAATACATCATGGGAGATAAATTCATGATTTGCGTCTACTGAGCAAGTTACTGAACATGATGCAATGTATCATGGATGAATTGTCTCATTAAATATAATAGAAAAAACATGTTGTTGGAGACTACAGTTAATTCAATGGCATTTTCTGTTGATCTAATAAATTTACACTGTCTCTTTCATCTTGAATTCTCAATGTATATCGTTCCTGCTTTTACATATTTGTTGTACATACAAGTTGTCTGTATTGTGCCCTGGTTGATTTTACTGATGTGATGGTGACCATTAATATAGACAAATCTGAGCTGCTGAGTGCTGACCAAATCTTGCGAGTTGATTTCCATCAAATGGCGCCATGTAAAACACCCAGTGGTCGTACAGATCAAGAATCGGCTGGAAATGGTTCACATCGAATTTTCATTTTGTTAGAAGGTAATTTGATCGATCAGAAAATCTTGCACGTGTGATTTAATGAGTTTAACGCCCCAAAATGATGAAAATACGAAGACATACCGAACGTTTAAGTTATTTGCAATAAACGTCTTGCATTTTGGTAAATGACACAAATTATTCCAATGGCTTCTGATGTAAAAGACAATACAGATGAATCCAAAAATATATCAGCAAAACCATTGTTTTTAGTTCCGCTGCAGAGCGGAGCGATTCACATACCAACACCACACCAAGTGAAAAAATATGCATTTTCAAACAAATTGCGATTAGCGCTTGTAGAATAAATTTCACTTGCAGAGAGGGGACCACCTGTCGAACGCATTTGCACGGGGTCTTAAAAAGCAATGTACTGCAGAGTAAGCACAGAGCGTACAGTGTACTATTCGTCACGTTGTTTTACTAACATCAGTGTTCGACAGAAAAGCATTTAAGAATCTGAGATTAAAACGGGAGGGTCGTCACCTGCGAACGCGCGGGGATTGAGTCCCATGCGACGATAACAACACACGCTAAAAACGCAAAGGCTCATGAGTAGACGCTTGTTTGTAAACAATGACACGCTATGGCTATCTGACGCATGCGCAGGTGATGACTACCCCGCTTTAAGATTTACAAATTAATCAATCAAAACAGTGACAGTCACGGTATCAATGACGTATACATGACATGATATAAATGTGGGTAGCACTACCGTTTTGCCAATTCATTTAATGCATGTACAACCGTCGAGGACATAAAAATAGTCTATTGCTTTTCAAGATAAGTTCAAAATATTTCGTCGGGTTTTATTAAGGATGTGTTGAAGAACCATGCCATATAGTGGTCTCTTGTCAATAAACAGAAAACTGCAGTTTGTGAAATCATACACTGATAAATCAATGCACATAAAAACGCTTTTTATTAAACTAAATATTAGCGCTTAATTCATATGAGTCAGAAACCTTCAATTTCAAACAAAACTTGGCAAACACTTAATATTTCCATATCAACCATGCAAAACCGCCTACGTGTGTGTGTGTCGAAATAATTTAATATGACACTTGAGACAGTTTATAATGTACAGAATGGACGCTTATTTATTTGCAGACCTGACAGAATAGCTACTCGCAATTTGCAAAGGAAATTACGGTTGTCACGTGATTGTCATTAATTGACAGTAAAACGTCTCCATATGTCATTGTCAAAACCTCCACAGCATTTAGTCGACAAAGAGCCATTGCTTGTCGAGCTACTAGTATTTTGAATAGATACTCAGTTGCAACGATTACCAAATATTGTCTATCTACCGTACATCTTTCAGTCACTCTACTACGAGAGTGACTGTGGTACATCTTTCAGTCAACGTACATACTAAACAGCAAACGGTTCAGATATCAGGATGGACGTTTGTGAAGATTCGATGTCATACTGGAATGCTTCGATGAAAATGGATGTATCGCAAACTGAATTCGTTGTCGCAGTCACAAACTTAGTAATCGTGTTTTTTGGTCTAGTATTGAACTCGTCGTTTATTTTTGTAGTGGCCAGAGTCAAATCGATGCGGACTCCGACCACCTATTTCCTCTGAATCTGAGTATGGCTGACACGATGTTTTTGCTGTCCATGTGTTTCATGTACATCCATACCTATCTACTGCAAAGTGATATGTCGGCGGCATATTGGTATTTGTCACCTGTCAAATGTACTTTTCAGATAGTCTCAGTTTTCCTGCCGTTGTTTGCGTCTACTTTGACCATAATAGTGTTATGTATTGAGAGATATGTCGGCATATGTTACCCCTTCAAGGCTAAAGAATGGCACACGAAACGCCGTGCTAAAAAACTGTGCCTAACCGTTTGGATAATCGCTCTGCTCGCTATATCCCCGATGATGGTCAGTTGTCATATTGCGTCCGACAGGCTGATGTTCACAGGAGAGCTGTTTCTATCGTTAGCATTTTCTCTAGCATTCTTAGTATCATCAGTCTTGTACAGTCTAATAGTCCGAGAGCTGAGCCAAAACTGTTATCATAAAGCTGAAAATAGACAAGTTATTCACGTACTGGTGGCTACAACAGTGGTTTATTTGGTATGCACGTTTCCATTCCAGTTAGCAAGTACTGCGTACCTCGGATCTATTCTAGAGCTATGGTGTTACAAGTATCCACTATATTATCATATCCATCTGGTCGCTTCAGTCGCACTTATTGTGAACTCATCAGTCAACCCTCTCCTCTATAAATCACTGAGTTCAACATACAGGAGAGCGGTAACCGAAGCTTTTGGCTGTAGAAGAAAGACTGGAAGGAAATGTCAAAGAAACTCGTTGGAGATGCACACCAGTCGTCGCTTCATCGATGCGAGCAGTACAAACTGAAATCATAAATCACAATCCTCGTGTTTATTATGTTGCATGTCATGTTGATATTCACTGTAGTGTGAACTCTGGAAGCTATTACTTTAACTTTTTTGTACTTCTCCATTACTATATCCGATTGCTTCTGTCAACCGTGACCCCAGCTTGTCCCCAGATTCTTCGCGTCAACGTTACAATATTAATATGCATCTTTATTTAACGAGGCCACAAACCCATCTTGGTGTTATTGATTATCCAGCAATCAAGTCAGGGCATGTTAAAAGGCCCACGAAGAATCTCGATAATTCTGCTGAGTGAGAGGTTTGTCTAAGGCATAAATACGACACTATCGGTAACCAACCGATTACGTCACACGGGACTTGTTATAATTCACATGAATAACTCTTGCTTTTCGCAATGTAGGATGCGGGTGTTCATAGTTACAGCGTGTTTTCCCACAACAATACATAACAAAAAAGCTTTTAACGCCTCCGTGCTATGTAGCAATGTGTTGGGCATAATCGTCCGGTACGACATAATACGACCATTCATTACAATGTACATGTACATGAATTTCTGGAGAAAAATACAAATAAAAGATTCCTATTATTTAAAAAAATGCTATGATGTGTTGAATTTGAATTCCAAGGAAATAATCTGGAAGTAGTTATCACAATTTAGCAATAAAAACGGAGGATAAATGTATCACTTAACTGTTTTGTTTTTGTACAGTTAATTATTGAGCGCGATACAACGCTACGGGGGGGGGGGGGGGGTTATTAGCATCCTATCATGTCCTTCAATTTTCACCATGGACACCCCGGATGAACATACTTGGGCTTGATCGTTTTGGCCCTGGAGACAATCTTTGTTCTGTATATTTTGTATATCACATGTCATCTTCAGAATAAAGTATTAAGTTAATATCCCTGTATCTCCGTTCATCATTATTACAGGTACGCCAAAGCATGGCAATCTCTAGACTGGC